GCCGGCTGGCGACCCCAAGGGGGAGGGCCTTCTCTGTGGGAGCTCCCACCCTCTGGAATGAACTACCCCCAGAGATCAGGGTGATCCCTGATCTCCCTTCCTTCCGCCGCGCCCTCAAGACATGGTTATTCCAGCTTGCAGGACTGGCCTAGGGGAAATTTTTAGTGGGGGTTTTAAAATAATTTTAAATTATTTAGACGAATTATTAATATTTGTTTTTTAATCATGTTTTAATCTTTAGTTTTGGTATTTTGTATTTTTATCTGGTTGTTAGCCGCCCTGAGTCCGCAAGGAGAAGGGCGGGATATAAATATAAACAATAAATAAATAAATAAATAAATAAATAAATAAATAAATAAATAAATAAATAAATAAATAAATAAATAAATAAATAAATTAGGAATTGCCATTATTCTCCAGAATAGTGGGGTGTATTTTGAAGTCAAAATCCAAGATACCTGGAAGGAAACCCTTTACTTATAGTTAATGCAACTTAACCTGTAGCAGCTTCTTACACCCAAAGTCACAACTGATTTCAAACACAGAATTCATTTATCCAACAGTTAATTCTTCACATTTAACTATTTACTACTAGCCCTAGGTTCTAGTTGATTCTGCAATGTTTTTTAGCCAAAAAGCTCCAAAACAAAATTACTGCTTGACCTTGAAGAGGCTTCCCCCTTTTTTCCATTTGGGATTATATTACTTGGGAGTAGACATCTTTATGCAGAGTGGCAATATATTTGGTGTGGGAAAGAATTAAGTGACAGAAGAATGTCTAGAACCATTAGGTCAGATGGAAGTTTCACTCTGCTTTTCCTTTTTCCATTTGTACCCTAATGCATGCCCAAAAGTACGTACCAGAAGAATGTAACGGCAGCGTGGAGTTTTCATTCTTTCTGTTATTGTCCAAACCAGAGTCCTGGACAGGAGTGTTTTTTACTGGCAGGGCGTGGGTGGAGAGCAGGTGTCTGCCGATAACCTGTGGAGAACACTCCTCTGTAAACACTGTGTACTTTATCCCTTCTCTCAAGAAGCTAATCTTCCTGCTTCACAGCTGCTGTCATCTAAGATAATAGGAGACAAATCTCTTAAAAATCTTTTCAGTTTTTTATTTCCAATCTGCAGCTTTACAAGAGTGTGGATGTAGATCAACTGGCCATAACTGCCAGTATAGGTGGGATGAACTACAAAAGGTCAAAATTGTTCCCAAGCTAATTTATCAAAGGAGAAATGAGCAGGGAATCTTGCAGAAATGTATTCAGAGATGTAGAAATCCATTAGTGGATCCAGAATATTAAAAATCAGGAGAAAAATATATCTGATTAAGCATTTCTAAAATATGTAACTTGATCAAAAGTGCCTCTTCCAACTTTTTTTTTATCTCCCTACCACCTAAAACGTTTGACCAATTTACAGTTTCTAGAATGTAAGAATAATTCTTGTTCTTCCCACTGGGTTCCTGCTCTTTTCCTTTTTCCAGCCCCCCAAACCCATCAACACTACTTGGCTTTTACTGAGGCTAGGGTTGGTCCTCTTACAGAACTCCTGGCAGTAATATAGTGTATGTTGAATAAGAACTTGCTGCCACAGACCTTTTTAATTCATTGTTAGAAGGTTGGTCAAAATGTGGCCAGAAATCTACATCTATTCTGGTTTTTTTTTTAAATCTAAGATTAAGGAAAATTGAGATAATGGTGTGGATGATCCACAATACTTCTTAAGTCCTATCCAACGGGCAGCCAATAGTTTTGGTTGAGCTTCAAGCAAACATATTAATGATAGGTTAAAAGGATCCTTTTCTTGCCCTCCCTTTGCCATCTATCAGAAATGATGGGGAGAATGAAATCTGTGCCTAGAAGTCATTGTGAACTCAGGCTGGAGAAGCAGCAAAGAGGCAGAGACCCAACTTTACATTCTGTAGAAAATCTGCTGTCTTAAAGCATTTTCCATAGAAATGAGACTGGTGAATGAAACGTAACTGTTCATGCTGTGAACTCCTGTCTTTTGCTTATCTTGTACATGTGCTCCTTTACATCTTAAAAGTGGGGCATAATATCGGCTGTATTGCAATTAATGCCAAGGCAGGATCTTTTAAAGAGCAATTTATAGCAACCACCAAACTACACTATGATTTAGCATTCTAATTGCTGCCATTCTAAGGCTACTAAATTTAGTGAGTTATATCTTTTGGAATAGGCGTATTTGATCCATGCCTCTGGGTGGTTAATTATTTTATACATTTATATCTCATTAAATGTCCAGGCATTCAATATTAGCATTCTCTATCCTTCTAACAACCCTGGGAAATCGGCTGAGCTGGGGAGGAGGGGCCGGTGGCACATAGCCTCAAGAGTTACACCAGGTATAATGACCTTCCATCTCTCAATCAATTCCAACACTAATTAGACCCACTGGCCTCATGTTACATGAATTGCCACAGCATAGGCAGGTTCATGACACTATGTCCACAGTCCTATTAACATAAGTAGCATGGTGACCATTTGGTTCTTGAGAAGACATTCACTTTTCATACTAAGAATGCAGTGGAAAAATCACATTTCAATTGTATGGAACTACCTATTTCTTTTCAAACAACATAAACAGAAGCCCTTCTGAACATTTGATGAATATGGATGGGATCTATTATGTGTGGGCCATCTATCATTTTCCTGTTTGTTTATGTCCTTCAGACATAATATCTGCTCTTCATTATTGTGGTATTCTAAAATATGTAGCAGCAACAGAAGTGGCATAAATGATGAGTAATTTAAGGTCAAGATTACCAAAATCTAGCATGAGTGGAACCATAGCTTCCAGAGTGATTGTCTCAGCATGCACTCCAATCCTTTTGGATTAACATCTCAACCATTGCGGGTCTTTTTCAAGGAAAGTTTATGTATGAAAAGTAATGGTGCCATTCAGGAATAATTGAGAATAATGGTATGAAAAGAGAGTTCCCCAAATTGATTCATAACCTTTCTGCTTCTGGTTAAAAAAAAAAAAGAGTCTCATATTAGTATTTACCCCAGGAGTATTTGGTAGGCTGCATTCCAGAATGGTCTTCCCCCTAAGAGCAGGGGGCATATAGTTTAAATGATTCAAAGATGAGCAGCCATTATAAAAAAAAGACCCGCAAAGGATACCATGGAAACATGCAAATTAATATGCTTTATGAGTCATGTGAATCATTGTCTTATGGAATCAAGACATGGCCTTTTGAGGTCAGGGGAATACAGTGTTACATATGATATTGTTTTTACAGTAGTGTTGGACTTCATGGCTTCCATAGTAACCATGAATCTATTCCAATATGCTTTTAAGCGCAACTGTACTTTCTCTGAAAATGGAGAGCCGTTCCTATAAATCTGTCCCCAAACATCTGTCACTCTCTGGTGGGTTAGCAGGATTATGAGTATGGTCAGTTGTACCATTAGACAAAGTACAATAGTCACACTCAGACAGTTACTGAGAGGAAATAGCAGGGGGAAAAACATGGCTTCAAATACAAGGTGCATAATCTCTGAGGAACCATCAGTAAAAGCAACTTGTTTTGTTTTCACCCCTACCAGCAAAATGTTTTGACCTAACCCTGGAGCTTTGGAATTTGACTCTGAGGTTAAGCTCTATCTCTAACATAGTTTATAGACAGTAGAACAAAGGAGAGTTGGAAACAAAAGTCTTTATGTGCACATAACTTATAACAAGGCATAAAGCCATGGTTCCTCTCATGCTAGACTGACAATCTTTGGCAGTCTAATGCCTTCCATATGATAACTCCCAATATTTCCTGGTAATTCCCAACCAGGAAATGGAAGAGGGATGTCAGAAACAATGTGCTGTGTGACAATGTTTTAGTAAGCAGATTAAGTCTCTTACTAGCTCTTTTACTTGACAGTATGGACTGTCATTGGCTGAATATTTGTATTTATCCGTTGTAATCCAATGCAATTTGTCTTGAATTCTGCGATGTTTTAACAGGTTTTATTTTTATTTAAAAAATATGAAATAGATTTTTAAACTTTATGTTCTAAGTAACTTGACATATTATCTCTGACATTGTCAAATGCAAGGTGCATAATCTCTGAGGAACCATCAGTTTCCTGGCTTGTAAACATTCACTTTAAACTGGTAGCATCTGTGATTCTGTTTCCATTCGCACAGCAGATTGATATAATAAAGAAGCCATCATAGAGCTATGTTTTCTGTATAGTCTGAAGAATGGTAGCACAATAGTTCTCTAATTGTTTGTGTTGTTTTACTTAATTTAGGGGGCTTCTCTTCATCTGACTGATTTGTAATTAACCTAATATTGAAAGCCCAGTTAATTCTAAGATGACAGTTTAGTCTGATAGTAGTCATCTGGAAGTAAACTCAATAGTATTTACTTCTATGTATGTACACAGAAACGTATCCTGCTACATAATGGGTGAGGTATGAACTGGAATTTATTCTAAATTAACAGCATACTTTTTTTTCCTCCCATACTAATTTTACAAGGGTAATCAGCATCTTAAATACATCCTCCTCCTATGGCAACTTAATTTCAAAAGATCTAATTTTGTTCTCACCTTCACTTTCTATTTTTCCACTTAAAGAACTAGTCACATAATGTAAAACAATATTAAAACCATAGCCACATACATTTAGTTATTTACTAGCAGTATACTTACATTAGGGTAAATTGGCTTCCTTGAGAGTTATCTTCTAAACATGTGTGGTGGAGCCCATTCAAAGGCCTGTATCCTTTGCTTATTTAATGCAATAAAGTTGAGGAATCATCAAAAAGAGAATTAGCCTTACCAACGATGGAATATAGTTGTTTCTGAATCTTGCAAAGCTCAGGGGGACTGTGAATTTATATCTAGCCCTGTCCAGCCCAACCTGTCCAATTTATCATCTGGGTCAACAGGCTGACTGCCTGCCCCCAGGTCATTCTGGTCTGATCTCATTATTTTGGGATCAATAGTAAAGTTGATGCAGGTGTTGCTATTTGTAACAATGATGTTGCAAGTCATGTATTGCCTGTAAACCTCCAGTGATGATAAGGCTGAAAACTGACACATTTTTTCCTCTTTATCTCCAACCTCCTGGAACTGTTGACAGTTATTCACTTGTCCCCCGGATGACAACTTCCATGTTTGCTTTGTAAGTCTAGAAGCAAGTTATTAAAATATGTTGATTCAATGGGACTAATACAGTTGAAATCCTGTTGATCAGTTTGGTAAAAGATCACGGGTACTCAAAGAAGAAGAAAAAAAACTATCAAAGCCATACAATCACTTCCATTGATTGTTAACGGTGCCAGGCTTTCAATCAAAATTGTATCTATATACTTAAAGGCTTTGAGGCACTAAGAAAAGCAAGAACAGGGGTGACTTCTGCTTTGTACCTCCATCTGTTCTACTGTCCATCTTCTTCCCACCCATCCATGTCTGTTGCTTTAGTAGGAATTTTTATTCTTTCTGTGCAGCAGAAAGATGGAGTGAGTAGACAAAACAGGTAGAAATTGAGAGTAAAGTACAGCAGTTTTTACTTTTCAGGGTATATATTCTCAGGTACTGGTGGAAATTAACACACACTGCCCAGCTGATATGCAAAATCACAGATTTTATGTAGAAAATTACTCTTGCAAAAATATATTTTTACGTTAAAAATAGTTTAAGAGCTTTTGAAGAAAAACTTGGTTCACATCGAAAGAACCCTAACTGTTGAAATCAGTGAAAAAGTTGGTCATGGGTAATTTAAGTACTTCTTGAAGTCAAAATAATGAAAGCATAGCTAACAACTTGGATTCACAATGTTGTAATTTTAGTCATAGCTTGCAGCTATTTTTAGACATAGGAACAACACATGGAAGAACTGTCACTCATTGGAATGAGTAAGTGATATGTAGGAAA